GGCCCGAGGATCCCAAGCTCAGGGCCTGCCTGAGAACTCAAGAGTGAGTTTCAGGCCAGCTTGGGTTAATTTAGTGGGACTCTGTCTCAGAACGGAAAGTAAAAACAGGGCTGGAGATGGCCATAGCCCAGTATTCCTGAGGCCCTCAATTCAACTCCCAGGGCTATAATAGACAAAAGGAAAAAAACAAACATTTGCCAGGGCAATGAGAGGACTTCTCTGATGCTTTCATAGGTGTCCTTAGACTCAGACTGTGTTCTCTAACTTGGCAGCTGGCTGTCTTCGGTCTTTTGTACACTGACCTCCTTCTCTGGGGGTTGGGACACTCGGATTCTTCTTTGATTCAGAACAAGCCTACAGCAGCACTTGGCAGTTGCTCTTAGGCCAGCACAAGTTTAGATTGTAATTTTACTCAGATTTTAATGATGGTTCCTTTTAAGTCAAGAAAAACAACAGTCATGGAGGAGACCTCTTATTTTTTTATTTCTCTCCACCTCCCTTCCTCCTCCATCCTATGAGTAGTTACAGAGTACCTATTGTGTGCTGTCACTGCTAAGAAATATAGATGTGATTCCTGCTCGGATCCTTTGGTCTAGTGGAAGAGACAGGCACTGACTAAATATAATCACACAAATGAAAACCGTTCTGTGTTGACAGATGCTTCAGAGAGAATGCAGAGTCCTCCATAAAGGAGAATGCACCTCATGCAGGGACTTAGGACGGGAGTTCCTGAAGAAGGGACAGCAGAGCTGAAAGTCCCTGGGTTCTGGGCAGTCCTAGATGAAGGGTGTATACAGGCAAAGATACACAGTACTGAAGGCACAGTTGGAGGGGAGGGTCTGAGGCAGAGCCTGTTCCTCATCTGAGAAGCTGAAAGGGAGAATGACTTGAGAGCCAAGAAATCAAGGCAGGCCATGGGCAGAGCCAGAGGATTTTAAGCAGGTGAATGACAGGGTCACGTGTGAATGGTCTGAGCACAGATATTCCTGTGAATGTACTAAGCATGCTTAGCAGAACAGGCTGAAAATGAAAAGCTGTAGGGACAGAGAAAGCATGCTTGGACTGGAAGTAACAACTTTGTATGTTTTTAATTCCAGAAAGATTTGTTATAGATGTGTCTTCGCTGCATCCATGTAGGTAAGCCAGGTGCATGTGGTGCCCACAGAGGTCAGAAATGGGCATGGGGTCCACTAGAACTGGAGTCGTGGGCAGTGTTAGCTGTCATGTGGGTCCTGGGAACCTAATCTAGGTCCCTTGGCAGAGCAGCCAGTGCTCCAACTGCTGAGCCATCTCTTCAGCCCTATAATGTGTTACATAGTTTTTGTTTTGTTTTGTATTTTTTTTTTCGAGACAGGGTTTTTCTGTAGCTTTGGAGCCTGTCCTGGAACTAGTTCTTGTAGACCAGGCTGGCCTCGAACTCACAGAGATCCACCTGCCTCTGCCTCCCGAGTGCTGGGATTAAAGGCATGTGCCACCAGAATGGGAAGCAATATCTGTCACATAATGTGTGGTGAAATGTTCAACACACATTGTTCACAATAGTAGAAGTAATCCACATGTCTATCAGCTAATACAGTGATCAATAAAATATTCTATATGCACAGAATAGAATCATCATCTGTCAATAAAAATAAATGAAAAACTGATACATGTCATGCTATGGATGACTCTTGAAAATAATGTGTTAAGTGGATAAATTGAGACATAAAAGACCATATTACTATTTAATTTCATTAATATTAAGTACCCAGGTTAGGTAAGTTTATAGAAACAAAGATGATTATCGATTGCTTAGGGCTGAGGGTGAAATAGAGGATTATTGGTTGCCAATAGGCAGTTTTTTTTAAAAAAAAATAGAACAAGGTTATTTTGAGAATTAGATTACAGTGAGAGCTGCACAGTTCTGTGACTATACAGAAAACATGCAATTGCATGGCATGTAAATTATATTAGAGTAAAACCCTGTGTGTGTGTGTGTGTGTGTGTGTGTGTGTGTGTGTGTATGTGTGATGTTTTAAAAGATTCTAAGAACTAGGACCACTGTAGATCATCTTAAATTTTACTTTAAACCATAGCACTCCAAACAGCTAGCATCAGGGACCACAACCACTTCCCTACTAGAGTAAGTCGGGATGATTTATGATCCTGTTAATATGTTAGGATGGTAGAGTTGAGCCCTCTGCTCATCTAAATTAGCATCACCAAGCAGCTGTTTCAATTAATCATCATGAGAGCTGCAGACATTTCCAAAAGCACTCTAAACCAGCCTTTAAACTGGCCTTATTTGGTATTTTAACTAACTGTCTGGTTAAAATAATATTTCTGACACATTTTCCTCTTCTTAAAAAGTAACTTAACTCTTTGTATTAAAACCAAGGCGTTAACTTTCAGACGTAGCCTCTGACCTTTAAAGGACTACTTGCAGTTTAATTCTTACTCTGACCAGGCACATTTGATGTTTTGGATGCTACACAGACTCACAGTGGCTCCAGAGAAAGGGACTATGAGGCTGAGCAGGTGGTAGTGCTTCCGTTTTCACACCCTGGGGCCAGCATTTCTTAGGAAAGCATTCCTGGTATCTGCCTCCATCAGTTACAGGTTCTCATTTGGCTTGTGCCGCTTGTTGACTCTTACGTCTTTCATAAATTTTCCTTTTCCCTTCCCAACCTCTGCCAGTGCCCGCGTGACAAAATGGAATTCTGTCTTCACCACCCTGTGTGGAGAGTGAATTGCTTTGTTTTATGTACCAGGAAGTTGAAACTCAGAATCATAAAGAGCCTTGATTTAGTTATGTCCATAGTTAGTGGGAGGGTTTCACGATGGAAGACTTCCTGATTTCTTTTTATTAAACTCTACCTTTATTTTTCAGCCTCCAGCCTCTCTGTCTTTTCAAATCTTGCTCTAATAAATATCTACAAGAAACATTATTTTATATTCCATTTTTCTTGGAACTAACTTAGAGATGCAGGTACCTGTGTAGTGAAAATGGAGGGAAGAAAACCAAAGGTGAGAACCCTTTCTGGCCATTTGTTTTCTTAAGTAGTTAAAACAGAAAAATACAAAACAAAACAAAAGCAAAACCCTCCATTTATTCCAATTAGGTAGGAGAAATACTTTAACAGAAGGGAGGAGACAGCACTGGGGCTGACTTAATAGATTTTGGAGAATGTCAAGGTCACTGAAAACTGAGTCTTGCACAGTTGTTTCTCGCCTGTACAAGATCCCTTGCTGCTTCTTTGACTTCCGTAAAATTCGTTAGCTACAGGGAAGCCCTTGTTATTTTTTTAAGTTAATTATTGATATTTCCCCTTTTTGTAAGTCTTCAACGCTTTCCACTGTAGACTAGATTTCCAGTTCCTTTCTTGGTTAAACAGGCTGTAGGGAATCTAGCCTCTTTTATCTTTCCAGGTTTATTTCCTGTCATTCAAATACGCTAGATTTGATCCCAGTCTCCGGTCTGTGAAGTAGACTTATTTTTTTGCTAGAAATGCTCTTCTCTTCCATTTCTTGTAGGGCTGTTATCCAAAGCACAGCTTAATCTCCCTTCCCCACCAAGAGCACCGCTCCTAAGGTGTGGCTCAATTGTTTAACGCCTACAGATCCCCCTCTTAAACTATTTGTCTTCTATATAGTTCAATAGACAATCTGGAATAATGCCTAACCTGCGTAGGAGAACAGCCAACAGCTGTTGAAGAGAAGGAATATATGAATCATTCTTTCTTTTCTTTCCCCTGAAGAGCACTAATCAAAAGGAGAAGAGTACACTTCAAAATGTCTTTCTCATCAATCAGCCAATCTGAGGAACGGATGTCCTTGAGGAGACCATGCAACTTGACTGCACGGGTCCTTCTGATTTAAATGGGAGTCACACAGCTTGTCACCTGAGGCTTGGCTTCTTGGTGATTGGGGGTCTTATTTCCCAATTTCGATGCCACATGGGGGGAGCGCTCCCCTTGGACCGACTGGAGGTTCAGATGGGGCCCGAGGCCTGGCGCGTGACCTGTGGTTTTCCCTGAAGATGCTAAGGAACCGAGCAGAGCCATTCTGAAGGATGAAGGGTCCCTGTAAACCCCTACCCCCCATCTAGTGGGCAGTCGCTGTGGGAAACCAGCCCCAGGGAGGCGTGGCGGCCCAAGGCAGACAGACTAAGGCAAGAGAGCTAGACTAGGGTGTTCCGCAGGTGGAAAGGGTTAAGCCGTTCCCAAGGCAACGGACCAGGAAGCGCGCAAGACGTCAGCGGAGAGTTCGTAGGTCAGCTTCGCGTTAAAAGCTCCCACGGGCCACGGGGCACCTGGCCAATAGAAAGGGCGTCTCGGTGTCACGTGACAGTCGACCCGCAGCTTTGCCCTCCAGAGCACGTGGGAAGGTTTTTTTTTTTTTACCCCCCCTTGTTCCTTTTGCGCGGGCTCGGCCACGGGGTCGTTCTCGCGAGAGGTGCGCTTGCTCTCGCGAGAGTGAGTGGGCGGCGTGGGGAGGCGGCGGCGGTGGCGTCTCAGGCCGGGGCGGGCG